GGCCAAAAATAGCCTGTTCCTAAAACCCTGGTTTGGTGCCTGAGTTTCAGGGCAGGTCGGTCTGATAACAGACCGAAAATGGCCCTTCGTTTCAGGCTAAAAAGGCTACTGCCATTTTTAGTCTGAAACGACACAGGGTCTGTAGGCCCCTGTTTTTCAGGCTTTCTAGCTGAATGGACACGGGGCCTGTAGGCCCTGGTTTTCAGGCTTTCAGCCTGAATTTCAGGCTTTCAGCCTGAGGGACGCAGGGCCTGGAAAATGACCCTCGTGTGCAGGCGCAGCATGTAGCATTCCCTGAGTTCGCATGCCTTCTTCACGGATGGGCAGGCAGCATGTCAGTTTCAACTGATTTTCTGACACCAAGGGAGCACTTGCCCTCTTGCCACAACTAAAAGGTACTGGCCGGGAGTACATAGATAAATGACCTGTATTTCATATTTAGCCAAGGTAAGTGGGCCTGTGGCTCAGGACTTCAACATAGGGAACAAAAGAAGGAAAGCACAGGGGAAAAAAAACGCAAAAAACAAGAACCAAACTGGACGATTAGATCTCGTTCTAGATCTCGTTGCACGCCTTAAAGCACCTGTACACCTGGGTCCGAAGGCGCTGCGCTTCGCGCCAAGCTTTTCTGAATCAGCAGCAGCGCACTTGTGGGCCGGTAGGAAAGACCCGTGAAATTTCCTGAACAGGCAATGAACAAATTTCCACAAGCCAATCCAATTGCGGGTATGATCTACATTTTCGAGAGTCATCAGGTGATTTCCAGAGTAGTCTTTTCAAGAGGTTTGGGCTCGTCGCCGCACCATCTCTTGAATTGCCCGCTTCTCGAATCAAGTTACATAAAGAATCGATGAATCTGTCCCGAAAAAATTGTCACGTGTCAAGGTACCTCTTGAAAACGGAGAGGTCTTGGAGGGCCAGCAAGAGGACTCGAAATCGAGTTTGCTGCAGGCTGGGGGCCGAGGTGAGTTTCAAGAGAGAGGGGCCTCAAGAATTGGAATCACTGACGACTTGTGATTTCGTTTTGCACTTTGGTTTTCGAGAGATAGTGTGGCGGAGCACTACTTGTGCGGCAAAGTCCAAAGTTTTTGATAAAATAACAGCTTTCTATGACAGGAAGCCCAAGCTTGAATTTCATTCTTGGAGCAAAGTTTGAACCAAACTCTCACACCTTTGGTCCAAAATTTTCATTCCTGGAACAGTTCACCATACTACAGCGTCCACTTGGAGGCTATACGAGTGGGATCACAGCGACTCAGTATTACGGAAGATGTGGACCTGGATGGCATCGGAACAATCGTTGATAGTGGGTCGACGTTCACCTACTTGCCAACAAGGGAGTACACTTTCTTCGTGAGAGAGGTGCTGTGCTTTCTCTCCTTTTTTCTTTCTTTTTTGGTTTCGCCTTTTCTTGTGTTTTCTTTTTCTTTTTGTTTTTGTTTTTTGGCCCTGAAGGCAATCTTCTCTTTGGTCCAAATCATTTTTTTAAGGGTCTCTCTCTCTCTCTCTCTCTCTCTCTCTCTCTCTCTCTCTCT